AGGTAGATAAAGAACAGAGTCTCACCAGTCCGGTGGCAAAAAACACGGCAAGCAGAGCCAGGCATGCTCCCATGATGATGAGCAACAGGAACACGATGAGCGGATGCTGCTGGCTCATACGGTAGTAAGACTCGTACACCCAGTCTGGAGACTTCAGCCCCCCGGACGACGCCACCATGTCCTCCGGACCCTCCAGCAGGTACGCCGTCTGTTGGAACATGGGGTCTGGCTGGACTCCGGAGCCTTCGTCCTCGTCCTCTTCCTCCTGCTGCTGCCGTTCCGGTTCGTTCTCCTCCGTGAGAGTGCTCAGCTGTGGCGGGTGGGACAGATGCGACCCGCGCCAGGGCAGGAGAGAGAGCGCTGCCGCACGCAGCATTCTCCAGCCAACATGATGAACTGAGCAGCAGAGAGCGACTGAGACACGCACGAGAGAGCACGTGAGAGTAGGAGAGAGAGAGACGGAGAGAGAGAGAGAGAGAGAGAGAGAGAGAGAGAGAGGAGAACACGAGTGTTTGTTTGACAGAGCGTGAGCTCTTAGTACTACTGACTTCGTAGAGTCTGTGTCGGAGAAAGGAAGAGAAAGTCTTCAAAAGAATGTGAAGGGAAGAGAAGAGGAAAAGGGAGGAGAGAGGAAAGGGAGTGGCGGGCTTGACAGAGATCCAGCAGGCGCAGTATAATGTTTGCTATGCAGCGCGTGGCAGGTTCAATGATATGAGTTAATCAGAGATGACTGATTAGACACCCAGAGGAAAATGTGTCGCTCAGATGTTGCTCTTTCGTAGCTCAGGAGACTTTCGCATAGTTATGCTTCACTGAAGTATCAACTCTGATTCTTCAGATATTTCTTGGGTGGAATTCCTTGAGTAGAAAAAAAAAAATATATATAAATAAATAAATGAAATGAAATAATGTTAATATAAACAAATCTACATCTAAACATTATAAATGATATATAATAGATATATCTATATATCCTTAGATAGATAATTACATATATATATAAAGTTTCTTAGGTGGGAACATAAAATAATAATAATATAATATAATAATAGTTATACATATGTATTTATCATAAATCTCTCATGTTCCCAGTCTTTAGGCTGTAATGCTCCAGCTGAGAACCAGTTGAGAAAAATAAGATTCATATTAACTTCATGGTGCTGTCCGAAAGCATTTAGATCAGTAACCCATGAGCATATAAATCTCTTTTCTTGACAGGCTCTGGTTTAAAATGACTTGTCTGTCCAGGTCTTCCTCAGATCATCACCCAAACAGTCAGAGGTGTGTGCCGTGATGTGAGCAGGTGTGGGCGGGAACTTCTTGTGTGTGAAATAACTGTCAGAGCTGTGTGAGATCACTACCATCCTGCTTTTGTGGGGGTGTTAAATATTTTTTTATTTTTGTTTTGTTTTTTTCCCCATAGGTTTTTAACATTCGTTTTACTTGTAATGGAGTAATATTTGACCGGCAGTATCTGTACTTTTACTCAAGTAATGGAGTTGAGTACTTTGTCCGCCTCTGGATTTAAGAAAGACAGTTTCTGCCTCAGAGTAAAAAAATTATAATAATAAAATAAAAAAGTTAATTATGATTTCTGTCATGACATCTCTTGAAGGGATTGGCATGGTAATGTACATGACAATGTTAATGTATTTGGTCTTGGCGGAATAGATCTGCTATGACTTGCTACCGCCAACACATCCACAACATACTGCTGTGAGCATGTAAGAAATATTGCTGCTGCAAATATAACATACATGAAATAACCCCCATATAGCATACATGAATCACCTCGTAGCAGATCTATACAGGTGGAGCTGGGGAAGGTGGAGGGTTTCTGAAGCAAGCTGCAACTGCTACGGCAAGCACTAGTCATATATTTGAATGTTGAGCAGCGAGCTCATTGGCTACCGATACAGGAGAGAACCAATCAGCTGTGCCATGTGATAATGATGTCATTAGGTCAGATTGAGTTAGACCTATCGGACTGCGCCATCTAGAGTTTCATGCCAGAACTCTGTATTTGTTTCTTAACATTGAGACTTTCGATAGTTTTGTATCTCACAATTTTGACTTTATATACAAAACAACTATATTTCTTTAACTTTTTCCACACAATTACTTTTTAATATGTTGGCTTATAAATTAGATCTATTTCTTAGGAATAAAATCTCAGAAGCAGCAGCCGTTCGCTAAAGTCTCCATTTGCTCGATATAATCTCATCTGCATCTGCAGTCTAGGAGAAACAATGCGGGTATTAAAGAGCTCTCCTTCATTTTCCTTTCCTATGGGGAGAGACTTACAATAATAACAGCATTAATGAATGAAAAACCAAAGACAACAGACTGGTTGAGAAGAAAGGAGAGGAAACAGGAAACATGATAAAACATTTCCCTGTAGCTCCTGTCTCCAAAAAGGACAGGATCCAAGATCCTTGTTGGTCCTGGAATAACATTCCTGTCAAGGTTTAACTTTAAAGTCAAGCTTTCTTTGCTCATCTCGCAACCCAACCTATACTTTGCTTCTGATTTTCGAGGCAGCTAATCCTTAGAAATAACGGATAGGGTTAGGACTTGACAGAAGATGCAGGAACATGTCGTACATGTTAAAATCACAGTCACCAGCTGTTGCTCTTTTACTTGCGAGTCTCTCAGAAGACTCTCTTTATGTATTAAGTAATCCTGTTGTATTCCAAAAGGTCTTGTGAAGCTCTGAGGGGTGACTGTGATTACACTCTCCAGAGGTAATTAGCAGGGGTGTGGACTCAAGTCACATGACTCGAGACTTGACTCGGACTCGAGTACCAAATTTGATGACTTGCGACTCGACACGATATAATTAAAGAAGACTTGAGACTCGACTTAGACTTTGACAACAATGACTCGAAACTTGACTTGGACTTGAGCCCTGTGACTCGGAAAGACTTTATGATAATTTCAAAGTCGTTATAGACGCGTCCCTGCAGCGTGCTTGCGCTTGACTGGCAATAAGCCAGAGACTGCATTCGGGGAGTGCTGGATATATAGCCTAGGCTAGCATAAATTAATGGAGTAATAGCACAACTTATGACAAAAGAACCGAGAAAAAATTACATGATTTGTCTAGTAGCGCTCTCCGCTCGTGAAAAGCGCTGCCCTGTCCTTTTGATCGCCGCCCAGCAGACACACGGAGCAGGCATGAGAAATGAGAGGCGCGGCCGCGATCACTGGTGCTCGCCTCATCATCACCCTGACTGTTAAATATTCCTCACTTCTTCTGTTTGTCCGACACCGAGGTGCACCATGAGTGATGGATCCGCATCCCGGGCATCCCGCCACGACCCTCGCACTCTGCCAACTCAATGTGCTTTAATTTTCATTTTTATTTGTAATAAACACCTCTCTGAGACCTGTTTTTGTCAGATCTCCACTGTTTTTGTTCAATCAGTTACATATTTTAATTTCATGTGCATTTTGTTTTATTTAAACCTCCATTAAGTTTAAAGTTAATCCATAATCGAGATTTAAATCTGAGTTTAAAGTTATGGTGCAACAGGATTAAAGTTAATCTTAAATATAACTTAAATCCAGGATCAAAATGATGGGTTAAAATGTAAACCTGCTTATTTTTAAAGGTTTAAAGTTTGGTGCAACAGAATTATTAGATAAACCTTGATTTAATCTAGATTTAAAATTAATCAATGCAAACCATTTAGCTATAATTTCATTTGAAAAAAAAAAAATGCACATTAGGCCTAATGACTGAAGTGGGCAAGCGACAATAGGCCTAATGATAATTTAAAATATAATTTGAAGAAGTGTTTCACAAAATGAGCATTGAATATATAACTATAACATGTGCATTTTATTTTATTTAAACCTCCATTAAGTTTAAAGTTAATCCATAATCGAGATTTAAATCTGAGTTTAAAGTTATGGTGCAACAGGATTAAAGTTAATCTTAAATATAACTTAAATCCGGGATCAAAATGTAAACCTGCTTATTTTTAAAGGTTTGAAGTTTGGTGCAACAGAATTATTAGATAAACCTTGATTTAATCTAGATTTAAAATTAATCATTGCAAACCATTTAGCTATAATTTGAAGAAGAAAAATGCACATTAGGCCTAATGTCTGAAGTGAGCAAGCGGCAATAGGCCTAATGATCATTTAAAATATAATTTGAAGAAGTGTTTCTTTCACAAAATGAGTACTGTAAATATAACTATAAAATATAGGCTAATCAATTTTTCTCACTCTTCACCAGGCACTCATGTCACTTCCATTTCTTTCGGGATAAATGAATGAATTCACATGTTCTAAATCAGTCTGTAGGCCTATAGTGCACATAGCCCCTAAATTTAGCGATTTCATGAGTTTGTCTGCATCCATATTGCATGTTTCCTCTCACTTGTAAAGCTTGCAGTTATTTCGTCTAGTTCTTTCAAAGCAGTACTTTCTGCGTTACCGCTCACACATTTTTTTATCTGTTTCATTGAGGTTCCAAATAATGGCTTCGATATAACACCTAGAAGCATATATTCTTATGCACACATGCAAATGTTGCAGCTGTTGTTTCTATGAAATTATGTTGTCTTTGCTATTCCGTTACTAATAAAATAGTTTTTTTCACTGCTTATTGTGCCTATTTTAGCACAATCCCTAAATTGAACTTGAGTAGTTTTACTAAGGGCACCCATCTCACATGAAATTGAACTATGTCAAACATATTCTACCTGCCTTCCTGATATAAATTACTATGAATTTGATATGGTAATTAATACTGAGACACTAATTTGGGCAAAGAGCACTAATGACTCGTTTAAGACTTGAATCTTAAAGTTGAGGACTTGCAACTCGATTTGGACTTGCCTGTCTTGACTCGGGACTTGACTTGGGGACTTGTCTGTCTTGACTTGGGACTTGACTCGAGACTTGAATGCAAAGACTCGAGACTTACTTGTGACTTGCAAAACAATGACTTGGTCCCACCTTTGGTAATTAGACAATAAATGGTCCGCTTCAGTTGAGTCAGCAGCCGCGCCGGTCAAGAGCTCTGTGAAGAGAGAAACTCCCAGATCTTCTCATCGTCTCAAGTCGATGCCGCCCTTGCAAAAGAAAGACACAGATTGTTCAAATAACATGAACATGATTGAAACGTCTTTCACCTCATTATTAACAAAACAGTCATTATAGCTGCCCACCAGCACTGTTACGAGACATTTGAGGTGAGAGTGCACTTGTGGGTGAAATCATGGCAATCAGTGAAGACAGCTGAAGTGAATAATTCATTCAATGAATTATTGAATAATTCAGAACTGAATTATTGAATCAAATAATACAGGACTATATTCCATACGCTCATTTTCCCCCTTGACATGAAATAGAAAATAGAGGAATATAAGGGTAATAGATCAAAGAGAAATCAGATCTGGTCTTGGGGCCCTGAAGCAATGACCTGTAGATGTCAGAACCCACCAAACCTACAGGTATAAAACAATGCAAATTTGCATGACAGGTAATCATATCTATAATAGATTATCTAAATTCATGTCATCCATATTAGACTTTTGTGGCATAGTGGATAAAGCTCATTGAAGATAATCCGTAAATTTCTGCAAAATTTGAGCCTTGTACCTTTCTTCAGAGGGTTTTTCTCTTTGAAACATGTACAGAAATTAACTTATGATACATATTACTATTCAAAAGCTGATTGGAGTCGGTAAGATTTTTTAAAATTATTTTTAAAGAAGTCTCTTATGCTCACCAAGCCTCAATTTCTGTGAATAAAAATACAGTAAAAACGGTAATATTGTGAAATATTATTACAATTTAAAATAACTGCTTTCTATTTGAATATATTGTAAAATGTAATTTATTCCTGTGATGGAATGCTGATTTTTCAGCATAATTACTCCAGTCTTCAGTGTCACATGAAGTCACTCTAATATGCTGATTTGCTGCTCAAGAAACACTCCTGATTATTATAAATGTTGAAAACAGTTGTGCTGCTTAATATTTTTGTGGAAATCGTAAAAAATAAATATTGGAGAAGTTCAAAAGAACAGCATTTATTTGAAATATAAATCTTTTGTAACAGATCTTTACTGTCACTTTAGAAGCATCACTACTGAATAAAAGTATTAATTTCTTCTAAATAAATAAATAAAATATACAAAAATCTTACTGACCTCAAACTATTGAATGCTAGTGTCTACTAACATACTCATCCTTGCTCCTTGTCTTATTTGCTTGCACTGCTCCTCCAAAACTTCTGCTTGTTGTTGTCAGCCAAATCGCCATGCCAGAAAGGACCTGAAGCATTGAGATGAAATACTGAGACAATCTAAGTTACGCCCTTTTTTTTTTTGCTTCACCACCTTGGAACCCCATATGGAGTCCAAGTCTGAGGCTTTTGTTCAGATGAAACACATGCGAAGCACTGCACAGTTGAAAACAGGCATAAAAGACCCTCGTTAGAGAGCCTCCATTAAAGCTGTCCCGGCCTAATGGCTGTGTGAGACTGAATTTTGACTCCACTGAGTCTGTCCAGTGAAATGGGCTGATGATCTCATTAGATGTGCACATCTGAAGAGCTCCACACAGCCACACAAATGCATGTATACATACACTCGCTGAATTTAATGGACAAAGCCAGCCAGTGCAACCTGAAGCATGACCTTCGTTTGCTGGTGCAAACCTCATCTTATTCAAGTGCTGGAGGCATCATCTGTAATCCCTAGCCTCCAGTATTAGAGGTGACATCTCTATATTGCTTGAAGCTCACTGTTGCCATGTTGTGTGGTATTATCATCAATAGACTTCGATTGGAGAGCTTACAAGCCAAATTGTTGTCCTACTGAGCATTGACAAGTCTGGATCCCGACTATCTGGAGTACAACACCTGCATCTCAAAGATCCCATTAAATCAATGAATTTTGTGTCTTTTAGTGTATGCTACCATTCAAAAGTTTGTTTTGATCTCACAACGGCGATATTGTGAAATGTTATTGAAATGTAAAATAATGTCATTTTTTCAAACTTAGTTTTATTCAAATGTACATTTCTTCTATTGAAATGTAAAAAAAAATAGTTTTATCAATGTTGAAAACAGTTCTGGATACAGGTAAATTTTTTCAGGATTCTTTGATGAATAGAAAGTGTAAAAAAAACAACATTTATTTAAATAGAAATCTTTTGTAACATCAAACATTTTTCTTTAAAAAGCTTAACAAAATGTTTTAGCAAACTTACTGCTTCAACAGGAAATATAATCAACACAGGAAAGAAAACGGCTCTTGGCAGAAGATTTCATGCATTTTTTTTTTTTTAAGAAAATTGCCATCATTTACTGCTGTGGTTCCAAACATTGATGACTTTCTTTCTTCTGTGAAACAAAATAAAATTATATTTTTAAGAACCTTCACACAGATTTTATCCATACAAACTCTATAGAAATAAAGAAAAGATAAACACAAACAAACAAATAAACTCTTTCAAAATAGTTCATACAACTTGTACAACTACATTTTAAGCTTGTGCAAGGAACAGACTAAAATTTCCCCTGCACTGAACCATTAACTTGAGAATACCTGCATATTTGAGCTGAAATCAGATTTATGAATGAATCAGTCCGATTCATTAACCAGTTGTTTAGTATGATGTAAACAACTGATTAATTTAAAAGAACAGCTCAAAAGAACAATTAATTCACTGATCTGCTTCACAAGTTCTCCACAAGACTCCAGTCATTCCTGCTTATGAGTAAACAGCTTCATGTCTTGGAAGATTATCAGTAAATAATGACTTACATTTATAAATAATGATATTTCCCCCCTCACATGCTATTGTATCTTTTCAGAAGACTTCAAATACTGAGAATAAGTAATATGGACTACACTGAAAAAAAAAAGGGTTTGATTTACTTTGAAACAATTTTCACTCAGAAATTGTCTTAAGTAATTGAAATTTTGAAGTTGAAAGACTGAAATCGAATTTTATTGTAAAATGTATACTCAAACCTTTCATTTTTCATTTACAACTTAGAAAAAGATATATATTTCTTTTTTTACAGTGTAAGTTTATGGTATTTCTTTTTTTGTTTCATTCAGATGAAGTTGAACTGTCATTGTAGAGCTGCATAAACATTCTAACTTTTTCTAAATATAAATATTCAAAAATCTTCCTTTTGTGTTCCACAGAAAAAATAACAACATACACGGTTGTTAGGACATGGGGGTGAGTAAACGATGACAGAATGTTCCTTTTTGAGTGAACTTCTTGAAAGCAGCAGCAGGGGGTTTAAATCATTAAGGGAGGCACAGCACCATCTCTGGCGAGGTTTGAAAGTCTAACTTCTCATGTTCTTTAATTCTTCAGTCCCTGCTCGAGTCTTCCATCTCAGTAATAATCTGTCTGAAGAGCCTCTTATCTGCAAGGACAGACTGCAGGCATCTCAAGATGCTCAAACCAGAATCTGCCTGTAATCTCACATACCAAATCATTACTGGTCATTGCTAGTCACCGCACAAAGCGTCCTCTCGATATGGACAGAAAGCCCTCATGAAAGCAAAAAGGTCAATGAAGCCAGTCTTTCAGGATCCATTCAAATGTCAACCACAGGTCAAGAGGCCAATTCCACAGCCAGCTAAAAAGTTCAAGCCACTGTTAAACTGACCAGTGTTGGAGCTGAGAGCGGCTGGAAATGATCGCACCATTTGATTGGTGGGTTTAGGACTATGTAAAAGATTTAGGTGTCTCCAACCTTCTCAACAAAGAGCCAAAAATAGACCTTAAACAGGCCGACAAGACAACATGCAGAGGGAGGATGCAGAATGGAGCTAATGGGCCGGGCGGCTGGAATTTTAACTGCAGAGCATTTTGTCGGCATATCATTTTGTTTGTCATACACACCTTTGGTAATTTGGACATTTCCCAGTGAGTTTCATTTCTTTTCTTCCTGTACCTGTGAAGTGATGCATAACATCTGCTGGGTGGGGATGACAGAATGAGAGCAGGGAACAAAGAAACGACTCTCAGTATGTGTGTGATAATATATTAGCCTTCTTGTATATGTGCATATTCTGTTGCATGCACATTTTAAATGTTCAATATCAGCCTTACACAGTGAGGCTCTCTCAAGACGGTAACATCACGGGTTGTTTGTCACGGGTCTGTAATGCCCATTAAAGCTCTATACATGCACTAATGCACTGACTAATTTAAAATCTGACCAGCCTTAAACTTTTGTACCTTCCTTTAAAATAGGCCCATATGCACGGACGAGCACATCTGCTTGAGAATTTAGCTAAGAGAAGCAAATTGCATTCCCTGGGTCACTCACTAACCCCTAATACCATTAAGTTTGCTCCAGTTGATGTTTCCTCCTAATTTCACATCATGTTTTGATGTAACATGTTTGTTGTAATTGGGTAATTTGATGCAATTTATCATGGGTTATGCATTTGTGTTCATGTTTCGAAATGAACTACGTACTGTAAAAGAATGCGGAAGGAAAACAATGTCGTTTTTAATTTCACATCTAAGATAACAGGATTCCTGACTGTGACTGGCCGCAAATGAGACTATTGTAAAAATGTACAACAGTCATTTCAAATGTGGCTGCCATTGGCAATAGCCGACAAAGCTTATGTGGTTTTATCAAACATCAACTCCCAAGGTGGACTAAGGGTCCCGATATGCTCAAAGCGGAGTTCACAGCATTTAAGGGGTAAAAAGAAGTTGGAAATATCTTTGCAACGGTACACTTTTAGCGAACATCCTGGCGCCATCCGTGCTGCTGAGAGCGACATTCAGATGGATATGTAAATATGTGCTAGCCTACACATTTTCCTCTCGATAAGAAAATAAACACACAATGGAAATGACAGCAGTGAAAAAAACAGCAGTTAAGACATCTGACCATCTGACCATAGTAATGTGGATATGTTTGCACCAGCTCTGCAATTTGGCACTCCAGTTAAGTAAAGTCTTTTCCGGAAAGTTTTAAACTCCCGAAATGAACTCCAAATGAACGTTTTGGCCTGATGTTGTTTTAAATGACAGTACACTACACTTAATTTCATTTGAAGTATAATGCGGATTTAAAGGGTTAGTTCACCCAAAAATGAAAATTAGTCCATAAATTACTCACACTCAAGTAATCCTAGGTGTATATGACTTTCTTCTTTCAGACGAATCCAGTCAGTTATATTAAAAATGGTCTTTGATCTTTCAAGCTGTTTCATGGCACTCAGCGGGTGTTGCATGCATCCGTCCAAAAGCAGTTAAATAAAATGCACCCATCCATAAAAAAAAAAAAGTGTCTCACATGGCTCCGGGGGGTGAACAAAGGCCTTCTGTAGCGAATCAATGCGTTTTTGTAAGAAAAATATCCATATTCAAAACGTAATAATCACTTTAATGTAGCTTGCACTCACTGTTGTAAAGGGAAGCATTTCTGGGCGGATGATGTATGAGGTCGGCTTTGCGCATGTGCGGCTCAGAAGTGACGCACGCGGAAACGCAGGGGGAGATCAAAACAAAACAACGGTCACTAATTAGAAGTACAAAACGAGGATTTGTAAAGAAGAATGTCGGAGGATTTCGATATAAGCCAAGAGGAGACTGTTTTTTCTTTGCTAAAGTAAGGAAACTTTGCTTCCTTTGCTCCTGTTAATAAACGTTGGTTTTCACGAGACTCGCCGGCGCATGTGCAACTCTGAACTCATACGTCATCCTCCCAGAGCTGCTTCCGTGTACAACAGTGAGCGCAAGCTACATTAAAGTGATTATTACATTTTGAATATGAATATTTTTCTTACAAAAACGCGGTGATTCGCTACAGAAGGCCTTTGTTCACCCCCCGGAGCCGTGTGAGATACTTTTTTTTAATGGATGGGCGCATTTTATTTAACTTGTTTTGGACTGAAGCATGCAACACCCGCTGAGTGCCATGAAACAGCTTGAAAGATCAAAGACAATTTTTAATATCACTCCGACTGGATTCGTCTGAAAGAAGAAAGTCATATACACCTAGGATGACTTGAGTGTGAGTAATTTATGGGCTAATTTTCATTTTTGGTTGAACTAACCTTTTAAAGTGCTTGTGTTCCCTGCATGAAACAACACAGCACGAGCTGTAATGTCCGCTTCACCAACAAATGACTTATATGAGCTGATCACAAAGAGTCACAAACCTGATTGTGAATTAGCAGCCTGAATCAGACTTGCTCAGTGAGTAAATGATTACTGAGTTATCGACAGACTCCCCTACTAAACTGTGATTAATTTTTGGTTATGTCTGATTTAAAATAAACTAGGAACCTTTGCTGAGATTTATACTTTAGGCTTCTGAGCCTTCAGTCTCTTTACTGTCTAGTTGTGTATATTATAGATACATATTTACAGCAGAGTTTCATTGTAATAAATTAATAATGGTATTCCAATAAATAAATAAATAAATAAAATACTGGTTACTGTTTAGCATTTAGGATAGTAAAACTGTTATGTCAAAACTGCACAACAATTACTTACAAAAAAAGGATGAATTAGGCACTAAGATAATCTAATATAATATTTAATATAAACTACTATACTAATATTAATATTTAACATGGGTTATGCCTCAATGTTTATATTTCCAGATAAACTAGACATAGGAAAGTAGTAATCAGACACAATCAAATACAATATAATATAAAACATAATATAGACACATGGGTTATGCATCATGTATACATTTCTAAATAAACTTAATAAACAATTTAATATAATCAGATATATAATATTTAACATGGGTTTATGCTTCAATGTTTATGTTTCTAAATAAACTAGACTTTAAAGGGAAGTAGGAGAAAACACATTATTATATAATATTCACATAATTTCATATAATCAAATATAACAACATTTAACATGGGTTATTCAATGTTTTGTTCAATTAAGTTTCTAAATAAACTAGACGTTAAAGTGAAGTAGGAGGAAATGTAATATTAGATAATATTCACATAAATGAATATAATCAAATATAGTATAATATTTAACATATTTAATTGTTTTGAAATAAACTAGATTCTGAAGGAAAGTAGGAGGAAATGTAATATGTTACATAATATTCACGTAATAAAATAAAATATAATATTTACCATGGGTTATGAAAGTAGGAGGAAATGTAATATTATATAACAGTCACACAATATAATCAAATATAATACAGAACATGAGTTATGCGTCAATGTTTGTTTCTAAATAAACTAGACTCCAAAGAAAAGTAGGAGGAAAATTATTACATAATATTCACATACTATATTATACAAACAAACCACCACAAGTCCACCCCTCTGTGTAAAAATCAAGTATGCGTATATATATAAAAAAAAGTTAAAATATTTGCCTCCATGGTAACAAGCTAGAAGTAGGCTAATTCGTATCAGGGAGCAAAAGAAGCAACTTCCCGACATCTCCTGCGAGAACCTCTTTTGTCTTTGGCTTGCAGCGGTGGCGTAACGAGGGAGAATTAATTGGATTCTCTCGAGGCAAGTTTCCTGACTCTTTTCACCCCTTATGTCAGTGATACTGAGTAACAACAGTGATGGTGTATCAGGATGGATGGTGGTTTTGTTGAACATGTAATTGGGGTGTCATCAGTTAATTAGTGTTTTATCCCCGCAGCCAAAAATACGTCGAAATTATACGTCACAGCAATCACGTCTAGACTCGAAAAGACTTATCTTTCCGTACCTGCACCGATAGATAAGAGCCTTCCAATAAATCTTTGAAGATATGGCCTAGTTGCCATATAAGTCTCCTCCTCATCATCGTCTGGTTCATTAAGCGAGGTCCACTGTCAGAGGAGAAAGAATTACAAGTGAGTGACAGGAGCATATTGAGCCCAACCAGTACTCATTTCGCTCCAAAAAAGGGAACTGCTCTCTTTTCAAAGGAAACAAGTGTAGCCATAAAATATAATCAATGTGGTTACACTTTGTGTGACACCGTTCAAAAATAGACATGATGGCAGAACGATGAGAAAGGACATTTTAATGAAGGTATATAAATTGTTTCCCAGCCGCAGGCTTCAGCGTACTCTGAGAAATAGAGCAGTTTAACAATCTGCCCGGCGTGAGGAAACCTTCATCTTGAGATTCTGAAGATTTGCATAGATATCTGACAACACCTCAGCACCTCAATTCATTTCTGCAGACTTGCCGTTCACATCGTAAGCAACATGGAAAGCTGCTGGTTTCAGATGACACATCTATTGTCACTGAGAAGTTGTGGTTTTGTGTACTGGTGAGGAGGAGACAATGCCGGTATACTGGAAATCTTTACAGCTTATATGGAGACGTACCGATTGTTTCATGAAGTAGGATGCAAGTCTATTTTTATACAAATTTCTGTGCAGAAAGGAGGCCAAATCTATCTGCATATCCAGCATTATTTCGATTTTTTTCCCCAAATACGTCTCTCAAAATAGCAACGCATATTTTATGCCTCAGCAGCCTGCGTTTCGCAGGGCTTCATTACTGCTGGAGCTGCTTGGAGGTGTTTCGGAGAAGACTTTGATTCGTCTCTCTTAGCTATCAGCCCGGGTCCAATTGCTCAGTCCTGTGTTTGACTCTATTATCTCTCTGGAGCTTCTTCAAACATCAACTCACATCATGAGGAAGAAGCGATTTCTATTTTAGTGTAATTCTAAAAATGTTCACCTTCAGGCTGTAATGTGATTTTTTTTTAAAGTAAAGTAAACATAAGAATAACATTTATACTGTTAATCATTATAATAATAATTTACTTGATTACCCATACATCATTTTTATTTATTTTAGAAAAATCACGTTAAAATGTGAGTATCAAATGTGATATATCAGGCTTTTGATAAACGTTTATCTCTCAGTCATCATTGTATTGCATTACATTATAAGCTTTGACAGCTATAAAACTATAGAGTCCTAATCATAAAACAGAAGCATTTAAATATATATCGTCTTACTCTTACTAAGGCATATTATTGGGAGATGTCGAGTGACAACTAATATGCATTGTTACAAAGATCTCATTGATCTACATTACATGCTAGCCTATCAGATTTTTTTTTTGGCCATATAAATATCAGCATCTGCACCAAATTGCATATTTTTGCTCAGTTTGGGCCTCTGAATAAACTGAGGTGTTTTTCCTCGAGTACGCTATGAGCTCCATATTTCTACTATATCATATGAGCCATAAAAATCTGATATACTCAATTTGTTGTCTATAGGTTCAATAAAACCTTAAATTTCAAAATATATTTGACTATATTTTCATATGTCAGTCTTTGCAGGGTAGGCCAAAGGAAACAGTATAAACCTGTTTAGCCAATGTTAGCAAAAGCATTTATGTTGATAATTTAATAGCACGTAATAAATAGCACTAAGTCTGAAGTCACCATTTCAAGCAGTAATATCACATATCCAATTTAACAGGAAACAAACAGGATTACAATAACGTATATAAACCACTTTATTAAATTATTACTGTGATTGGACCGTAGGTCACGCTAATATTCGGGAAATCCACGCTGTGTGAAACATTGCTTTTGAACAACAGTTCAATAAGCAAACCGTTAATACATTTTTAGACCAAATATTTCCACAGTTAACTTACCTCGACCGGTTTTATTCAGCCAACGAAAATACCTCCAAAACGACAGAGTGACAGACTGGGGCAGGTGTAGACGTTAATAAAACACATTATAATAGGTAGAAAATTATATTTATTGTTAGCTTCCGGTTTTTGCTGTATCCCATCTAGACACAACCCAGAAACGTCGCGCGTCTTCAGCGACACAGCAGTGTTTCGGTCCTGAGTGAACCGGTGTTTTTGAACGAATCGATTAGGTGAATGATTCAGTGATTCACTTATAACCCGTGTCCGAAACCACAGTGGACATAATGGAGTGCACTCATTCAATCCCACACCTAAATAGTTATTTAGTGTTAAGACTATTTAGCAGTTATGGTCTGCTGCTTCTTGGCAATGTTTTGTAGTTGTTCAAGCAATATTTTAAAACAAACGAACAAAAAACATGTCACGTTGGGAATTTTACAGAAGAAGGATTTGAGATTTATGGGGAAAAAAAGTTAATAACTGGCACATGAACATTTTGATATACTATACACCTAGTCACATGTACCTAAAATGTGAAATTTTAAGTAAAGCTTTATTTAGCACCTTTTAAAAAGTGTTTACAAAGTGCTTTAACTATGTAACATATCCTTGCATTTTACTTAAGTAGTCTGTTATAGCTACTGCTATAAAAAGACCCCATTGATTAACATTACAATCTATAAGAATTGCAATGTAACAGCTCCTATACAACTCCAGGTTGTGGTAATTTACCACCCTCCTGGGTAAATTCTAGGTACCTTCCTAGAGGAGCTGGATGGGCTGCTGTCCTCACAGGACTTCAAACCAACCACACCCACTGCAAAAACTCCCATCTTCTCCTTCTGTCCCCTCACTGAGGCAGAAGTATCAAAGCTTCTCCTCTCCAGCCATCCTACAACATGCCATCTAGACCCAATCCCCTCACACCTTCTCTAAGCAATCTGCCCTACACTTTTACCAGCACTTACACACATCATCAACACATCTCTTCTCACAGGCACTTTCCCCACTGCATTCAAGCAGGCTCGGGTAACCCCACTGCTCAAAAAACCTACATTAAACATTTCACTTATAGATAGTTACAGACCCGTCTCTCTCCTTCCATTCATAGGGAAAACCCTCAAACGAGTTGTTTTCAATCAGGTATCATCGTTTCTTTCACAGAACAACAAACTGGACACTAATCAGTCAGGTTTCAGGAGTGGCCATTCAACTGACAACTTCAATATTCATCTGGACAAGCGTTAAGCTACAGACTTCCATTCACTCCTTGCTTCATTTGATCTCTAACGCCTTACCACTACAAGCACGCACAAATCAGGCAACCAACTTGACTTCATTTACACACGCAATTGTATTGCAGACAACATTTTGGTAGAACCTCTACATATCTCTGACCATTTCTTCTTTATATTTAAAATACATTTTGCTAACTGTGTGCCACCAACCCCTATACCGGTTACTTTTAGAGGCACATGGCTTCTCCTACCATTGCTATGCTGATGACACACAGCTCTATCTCTCATTTCAACCAGATGATCCAACGGTAGCTGCACGGATCTCAGGCTGCCTGGTGGACATCTCGGCATGGATGAAAGAACATCACCTACAGCTCAACCTGGCAAAGACTGAGCTTCTTGTCTTCCCTGCCACTCCAACTCTACAGCATGATTTCACCATCCAGCTAGGTTCTTCTACAATTACCCCATCAATTGTAAGTCGCTTTGGATAAAAGCGTCTGCAAAATTACAGTGTAAATGTAGGAATTTAATCACATTTTGGTCATATTAATAAGAGCATCTACACCAAACAGCATAGTTTTGCTCAGTCTGTGCCTCTGAATAAAACTGAGGAGCTATTTTCAAGAGTCATAAAATAGGAGCCATAAAAGCTTAATAAATCAACTATGACAGCCACAACCACCAACACTTATGCAAACTTTTAATGCATTCTTAAATATATATTGTTCAAAAAGGTTCAATAAACTGTTCCATTAAAAAAAAAAAATCTGATTATCATTACGTGTCAGGCATTACAGGGTTAAAGAAAACCATTATTATTATTTTCCAATTCATGCACAAACATCCTTGTGGTAGCCTGATTCCTTATTAGCAAATAAGAATAATTTATTATCAGCTTATGTTTCTCTCTTTCGAGTGCTAACTAAAGAGCTCTGACTTTTCATGAAGTGCAAGCCCACCATCAAGTGGTAAAACCTCAGCAAGACTGATGACACACAGGGCAACTTTTTGAGCAATTTTGTCAGGCAACTGAGTTTCACCTAGTTGCCTGTTGATGGCAACATTGCCCAAAAACATCTGCCATTAGTGCTGATCCAGTAAGGCATGATTTAATATTTCATTTAATCAAACAACAATTAAGACAGAAAAATAAACCGCAAGCAACTGCATGCATGGTTTTAAGATGTTTATTTAAAAAATAAAATAGAAAAAAAATTACATAAAAATATTGAAGGAAAACAAAAACAATTCCTCCGTCTGACCTCTTAGATAATGGGCGGCCACATTGAGGTCTTTCAGTTACGGATTGACAAGGAGTGCTTTTGGCCACTGCGACAACAGACGTCAGCAAAAAAAGGGTTACATTTAAAATCCATCACTGAAATTCAATGAGGAGTGTCACACTGTATCAAGCAAGTACATCACCACAAATGTCAAACCATTACAGAGTGAAACACTGCCACCTTTCCAACACACCTCCACAGATTCACTCAGGAAAAACAGGGAGCCATTTTCATTCAGACAAATCACCGATAAAGTAGGTCCTTATGTGAACCGAAGGAGGGGGAGTGTTGCCTCAATGTCTGACCCATTTTGCAAAAGATGCTGGTTCTATCTAAGGCAGAAACTGCTATTAGAGTTACATTTGCCCTATTGCATTGATAGGCAGGCGAGTTACAAGGACAATCCGTAGTCTCCGTATCAGATATGACTTTGTAAAAGGCTTCACGTAAGTTTGTGGCAATCAAAGTCATTCCATACAGACCGCAAGTCATGGTTGTAGTATTGTAACAGCAGTAAAATAGTCCGGTAGATCTCCAGGAGGAAATATCTGCTCCGCAAAAACTCCAGACAAGACGTCCGGCTGTTTTTCCTCCATCGAAACAGACTGAACTTGCATACAGGAACTGTTCACGTGTACCTTGATGCGTCGCTCTCAGGCCTGGGTCCGTTAACGGTCACTTTGACAAGATTTACAAGCAAAGGGCCGTCGTGAGGGACACAGGAAGAGAGGTTTTCTCCACAGGAAGAAACTCCACTTGCATAGTAACAATAACCTGCATGCCTGTGATGTTCTGAGCAACAGCAATACAGTTTTAGTGTGCCATATACAAACAGAACCAAAAAAAAAAAACAATACAATACAGTACAGGAATAGGTAATTACCAAAAAGGCATATATTAGCGCAAGTACCTGGCAATAAATGCATGTCAAGATTCCAGAATGGAATCAAAATAAATTCCCTTTCTCCGCTAGTCTGATTCGGGTGCCCGATCAGAAGTCGTAAAGGTCCGATTAGGGCACCTTGCATAAAGCTGCACTGATCTGGAGTCCCCTCGCACGTTCATTAGAGCTTCCCTAAAATAACTCACGTCTCACACTTACCTAGAGCGATTTAAAAAGGACAGACACACACACACACACACACATAAATATAAATGAAAGCGCGTACAGACTAAGGGCTTGAGCATCGGTCGGTTCTCAATCTGTTAAATCCAAGTCCTAAAGCCTCAATTCCACACAAGTACAACCTTAAAGACGAACGAGACGAATAAATGCAACAGCCGAGACTCTGAAACTCAACACAAAGTGGGAAATGGTGACACCTGCAGGCAAGTCGTTCTGCGAGATCTACACTGGCCGCTTTAACTCGCTCTCTTCCAGGTGCAATTTATGCCGAGAAAAGGGGAATAGGGAATATAAACTCTCAAAAACAGTTTTAAAACAGATTTTTTCCCCCTTAAGGAGCCTGTCTGACAGGATCTGTAAACGAGAAGCGAGGAGTGGAGAGGGAGCTTCCGGAGGGGAGGCGCGAGGTCTTTATCTGCTGACGCTGGCCGGCAGACTGTCCCTCTTCCTGCGGCGCCAGGTGTGGCGGTTGTACTGGATGTGGCCTCGGTTGGAAAGGACGGGACTGTGCACCACGGCGGGGTTGTGGAAGCCCTTCAGCGGGAACTTGGGACCTGTCTGCAGGAAATAAAATAGGGTAATTTAGGATGATGCTAGCATATGAAAAATGGCTCAGCATACATAAAAACCGGATTATAAATAAATAAAAAAACAAATGCATATCATTCGAAAGTCTGGGTACAGCACTTATTTTGAAAAGTAATATTCATTTGTATTATTTTTACTCCGCAAAGACGCCAAAAGTAGCAGCAAAGAGGGCCCTTAAAGCACACTAAATCCACACTCTGGAGCACTATTCGAGACTTAGTGTATCCCATCATTCATCATGTTTTGGAATAACTCACGAGATTTTTGCCGAGATCTCGTGAGAGGTCACGGAAACCTTTTCAATGCAAGTTAGATATTAATATAATAAGTAGATAGGGCCTATTATTACATATAATTTGGTAGAAAAACAAAGTGTTGCACGTTTTATTGGTGCAAAGATGAGTAGTGGTAGTATTTGTTTCGTACAACATTTGCAACTGCTTTTCATACTTAATTAGAAGCACAACAAATTGAATTATGTCATGTTATAGGGACTACTGAACAGACATTTAGAAGTTGATTTTACAATGCAAAGTATTTCAAATAAAAATAACGCTATGTAAACACTTGCATTTTTACAACACTATAAAGTGTGTCCCATCAGGTAATGAAAAGTTCTACACACTTGTGGTCTTCATGCTCACTTGAACACTTGGGCCAAATACAGGAAATACGTCATATAAGTGTTCAAGTGGTCAAGTGCAAAGACTGCAAGCGTGGGTATTTGGACAAGGGAATATTTTAATCAACACTGGTCTTTTGAACTTTATATTCAAAGAATACTGAAAAAAAAAAGAAAAAATGTTTCCACAAAAATATTAAGCAGCACA